CGCCCCCCCCCCCCCCCCCACCGGGGGGATACACATGGGCAAACACTCACCAGCGGGTCGTAAAAGTACGTGTCGCAGTCCAAGCCATCCGTGGGCTGCTTGGTCATCACGACCGGCAACCTGGGAACCCCGTGAAGCGGTTCGCCTGCCCAGTCCGGCGGCAGCGCCTGAAGCAACAGCAGCAACAGCAAGAGTCGAGTACGGCAACAGCAAGAGTCGGGTACGGCAACAACAAGAGTCGGGTACACCAACAACAAGAGTCGGGTTCGGCAACAGCACATCCAGTCCGGTCGAGAGCCGGGGAGTTGTACGTCACCCCGGGGGGTCGGCGGCAAGGACGAGGAGGGGGGTCACACGGGGGATCTTTGGTGAGTGCGGGGGTGGAACAGGCGAAACGGGCGCGGTACATGCAGTGTGTACTCTGTCACGCCAGAGGAGCACACCAGAAACGCCGCCGCCGCTGCTGCCGAAACCTTGGATGCGGGCGGACCACAGCAATAGCGGTACGCCTTGCATACCACCATCAGGACCCCACGGTTTCGGCAGTGAACAGACAAGACAGTCAACGGTGACCGGCAAATCAGCACCGTCGGCGTACATAACAGTAACATACACATGCGCCACAATTTTACGATCTTACCCAGTGGCTACAACAGCCCTTACAGAGCAAGAACAACTTGCAAGGGGCAACAGCACAAACAACAACTTCGTCGCCACGGTTAGAGGACACAAAGGGGGGCGAGAAAACAACAAAAAACAGGCTTCCGGAAACGACCACCTAGCATACAGCACATGTAGCTGCTCCTGCCTCCCAGCCGCAACGCCTGCACATCAAACCCTCTCAAAAACCGTCCGCAAAAAGAACACCGCCTTGCCTGGAGGTTGGGAACAACCGGGGGGTTCCGTGTCTGCAGGAAGTGCAAGAGGCACAGCAGGTAGCCGTAGGACGACAGCGTGCCCTCGCTCGCGTTGTTGACCCACCGACGCTTGGCCCAGCGCTTGAGCACGTACGCCAGCTCCTTGACGCGGGGGTCTGCCACGGAGTACGCCTGGATCGCGCGCCCACAAGCACAGGCGTGTTTTTGGTCATGAGGAGAGATTCATTCACCTATCACCCCTTCGACCGGAGATATATTTCGTTTTTTGTTTGATAGGACACTAAATACCCGTTAGATCGAAGATAGACTCATTTCTGGCGTGTCGAATATGTCGGTGATCATCAGCATCGGGGGAATCAAATGTTGGATATCGTGGATGGTTTATCGCCGATCAACTCAACCTCGGAGAGTTGTGCTCCGATCGCCCCTTCAATTGGGCCCCGCGCTTGCGATGGACATCCGCTCGATCGGAGATTCAACTCCTCGGAGATGAACTTCGTCGCGGAGGCCGGGTTCGCGACACGCTAAAAGGAAATATAAAAAACCCCATCAAATCTAGGGGGGGATGGGAGGGGGGGGGGGAAGGCGCAACACAACAACAACAACAACAACAACAACAACGACAATGCTACACCATCACCTTCATAAGGCGAGTGTTGCGGACGGCCAAGGGGTTCATGACCGAGATGTCGCAGTCAAGGCCGGAGGCTCCGTCGTTGAAGATGACGATAGGGATGCGAGCCGTCGGCCTGCTGTCCACCTGCTCGGGGATCGGTCGGTCCGTTCGATTCCAAAAAGGAGGAAACACGTGGATAAAAGGAGTATCTACAATATAGTCTCCGTATGTACAAAGACAAAACACGTGACATGTATGCTTTGACAATCTTCCAACACTTGCATCGCTTCCGTTCAGAAATGAAGCGCAATCACGCCTGGTTCAGCAAGGGAGGGAGAGGCAAGAGGCGACGTGCCAGGCGCATCCAACGGAACCCAACAACGCCTCCGGTTTTCTGCGCATGATCAGATGATGAAACAAGGGGTCTCACCTCTCTCGGTTCTTCTCAAACGCATCGCAGCAGAACGTCTATTAACTTCTAGAAAGGTGTACCACCCTTTTTTTGGGTAGTTGGCTTGTGACCACGCAAGGCATCCGCATCTGTTGTATTATTTATAGTATAGTATAGTATAGTATAGTATAGTATAGTATAGTATAGTATAGTACGGACATTAGAAGGTACCGAGCGGAGACCGGAACGGTTTGTAATGTGAAGACAACAACAATCGTAGGAGAACGAACCGCGGGGGGCGGCGGGAACAGTTAAGCACAGCCAGCGCACACACCTTGGTCATGCCCGCGGCCTTGAGCTTTTCGGCGATGGACTCGATCAGGGCGCCGGCGTCGTCGGGGTGCTGAACGCCTCTGGCATACTCGATGCACCTGACCGGCCGGGGGAGGGGGGGGAGTTCCCCGGGGGGTCATTCGTGACGTGCCTCGTGTCTCCCCTCGAGACGGAGCACACCCTTGGCGTAGAGACAAGCGCAATTTCGGGCTCTGTCTGGGGTTGCTGCGGTCGACCAAAACAACAAAACAACAACAAACTGCTGTTCGTGCTACCGCCCTCTTCCCCTCCCTTTTCCGCCCTCACAAGTCGCTGTCATTGTGTCGCACAAAGCAAGGTCGTCCCATTCGTTTTCCGACCGACCGCTCATGTTCCCCTGTCGCCTCGCCACCTATGAGGAGCTGATGCACCTCCACCGCGACCAGTACGACCACTATTAATACTACGTCGATATAACCCACCTTCGTGCAGCACGCTCTCTTTCTCTCTCTGTCTCTTTGGGGCTTGATGTGTGCGCGTGTGCATGAATGGGCTGTGGTATCATGAATCCGAAACCGCCAAAATTACAACAACAAAAAAAACTCAAAAGATCATGTCCACGGTCTACGTTGTGGACAGCGCTGTAGTCCGCCTGTGAACCAACGAAAGAAATGCGCCCACGAAAAACAAATGAAAACATTTCCACCAACTGCGTTGACACATCAGGGTACAAACGGGGCGTTGGCCAGAGTGTTGTGTGGTGGCAAACTTCAACACTTGAACCGAAACCGTTCTCGCCAATAAGGAGAGAACTTCCAAGACAGGCAGGAAACAGAGAAAGAGGGTCGGGGTACGTCGACAACAGGCCGTGTTGCAAAACCCATTTGGGGAACATCCAACAGCCCACGCCCCTTGTCAATCCCCCATCCGACCCGTTCTTTCCTCCTCCTTCTCTCACATGTCAAGATCCGCGCCGTCGTTTCCGAAGCCGTTGCTGCTGGAGCCGAAGACTCGGAGCGTGCTTCCCTTCGGGATCATCTTAGGCAGCTGCTTCATCAGGGTGCGCTCCAGAGACGCGCGCACCTTCTCCCGCTTCTCGCCGAAGTCCGGTGACGGGAGAAGGGTTGGGAGCAAGGCGCTCATCTGCCGGGGGTACACAATATGTAGCAGCAATTTAGCGAGGAAACCAACCGTGGGGAAAGGGGGGTAATCGAACAAAAAAAATGGTGGGGGAGGGGAGGGGCGTGGGGGGGGGGGGAAGTCCCTGAAAGCCGCGGGGGGAGAAAGCGGGGGAAAAAAGACTTTCATCCGTGCGCTCGCGTGTGCTGGGGGATACGCTCGTCCCGAAGCCCAGGGAAGAGAAGGAGCGGTGGCCTTCTTCCGCATAGCGTAGGCGCGTTTGGGGAGGTAAAATTGATTTGAGGGTTCGGCGTTCAGGGGGGCCCCAGAGAAGGAAGGTGGTGTTTTTGCCATGGACCCCTCACCGCCCCTCGCTACCGCTGCCGTCCTTGCGTTCCTCATGTACGCGCAATGCTAAACAAGTGGCGTCTACACTCCCAGTTGCGATGTGCCCTCGCTATCCCTCTCCCCCTCCCCCCCCCCCAAAAAAAAAAAAAAGCACATAATCAATTCAAGCAAGACACACATCCCGCGGTTATTACCAAGACGTTCTTGCTTCTATGTATGAACATACCGGTACAAACCTGATCTGTTAGAGAGCTCAGCACGGCCTGGTCGATGTCCTCCAAGCGCGCCTCGCTAGGGGTGAAGCCGAAGTCGTCCTTGTAGTGCTTGGCCAGGGCCTGTGGGGTTTCGAAATAGTGCTCCTCGAACAGGCAGAAGGTGCTCTGACCAAAAAAGACGAAATTGACGAACAACAAGGTGGTAAAAAACACACGTGAGGCTTTGTACCGAAGATGCCCTGGAAAAAGATGACGAAAATTGACCAAAAAAAAAGAAAGGTGGTAAAACACACACACGTGAGGCATTGTGGTACCAAAACACCCACAGAACAGCAGTAGAAGAGGGGTGCACACTGCCTTTGACTTGGGACACCATCCAAAACGAACAGGTGCAAGACACGCAGGTCGAATTAAAAGGGCCAAGAGCTCTTGTGACGAGCACGGTGTTGCTCAACCGGTGCAGCAGCTCTGAGGAGTGGATGAAACGCCTCTTCGACAACGAACGAACTCCTCGTCACGACCAACAAATGCCTTTTTCGTCACAACTAACAAACTCCTTTCTCGTCGCAACCAACAAACTCCTTTCTCGTCACGAACAACAAACGCCTTTTTCGTCACAACGACGACGACCTTCCTCCGAACCTGCCAGAGCCTGCACACCGCCACGCAGGGCAGGCTGGCCCCCTTCCTGTTGATGTTGAACGGGTCCATCTGCGGCGGGGCTTCCGCCAGGAGAGCGCCGGCCGCGGGGTTCTTGACGATGGCGTTCAACACGCACCACACGGCCCCTGCAATCGGCACATGGATACGAGAGACTGGGGGTAAAAAAAATGTACCATGGCACTCACTTAACTCAGGCTTGATCGTAGATATGTTTGCACCGGCGTTGAAAATGTTGTACCTCAACACCCTACGGTACTCGGTTGCACCCTTACTCAGCAAGCTGTCCCAAGACACGGTACAGCAGTACCCCACACACATCGCCATTGACTCCGCCTCTCAATCTCGTTCCTGCCCATCCGGCTGACTAGCATCCAAGCTCACAATCAACCTACGACCGTGCACGCATTCCAGCGACGTGGCCTCAAGAACATCTTTACATCGTCTTCGGGAGCGAAAACTACCCGTCCCGCCCTCTTCTCTCCCCAACCCTACTCTTTCTCCCAACTCTCTGTCTTTGTCTCTATCTCTCCCTCTCTCTCCCAGCTCTCTTTCTCCCAGTCTTATCTCGCCCTGTCTGTCTGCCTGTCTTTCCCAGCCCCTCTCTCTCCCCTCTGTCTCTCTCTCCTCTGCGTGTCTGTGTGTCTGTCTGTGTCTGTCTGTGTCTGTCTGTCTGTCTGTCTGTCTCTCTCTGTCTGTCTGTCTCTCTCTCTCTGTCTGTCTGGCTGTCTCCCTCCCTCCCTCCCTCCCCCCCTCCCCCTACATATCTCGCTCTCCCCCCATCTCTCTCTCCTCACCGTGAACAGCTCTCAGCTTGCGGTCGTCAGCGGCAGAATCCTTATCACGGTTCGACGTCCCGCCGCCGCCGCCGCCACCACCACCCTTGCCGGAAGACGTGAGCTTGACGCCCTTGAGCTGCTTGCGGGCCGAAGTCACGGCGTTCCAGAGCGCGCTCCCCACTGACCGGTTGTACCGCTGAGGCGGGGCGGTCTGCGCGCAGGAGCGGACAAGAGGGTAGGGTCGACCACGACAACGCCATCGATGTCGATGCCGAATATATATATATATATATGTGTACGCACGGTGGCCGCGTATGCATGCCACAGATGGTGGGCGTACTCGTGTAAACGGATGCCGGGAAGTCGTTAGACCATTGACTTTGGGTCCCTGCAACAATGCCGGGACGAAGCGATAGGGTTTCGTCGGCCCAGACTGCTACATTTCACAAGGATGACCAAGAAGCTTGGTCATCATCCTCGCGGTATGCTGTGCCCAAGACGAGGGGAACCAAAATCAGGAGAAGAGACGGGGGCCGGGGGCAGCATGCCTACGGAAGAGTTAGAGTCGAGGGCACGTTGTGTGATCCTTTCGAAGCAAGGGAACCAGTAAGCCGCCAAGAGCCAAGCACACAAGCAAGCGTTACCCTCACTTGGTCGTGTGTCCGGAACACAAACAACGACAAGCGTCACCTCCCTATCCCCCCCGCCCACCCCGACCCTGCCTTGCCACCCGTCGACTAGCGCTATATCAGGGATCAACAACCAACCCAACCGCCGCCAACCAACCGCCGCCAACACGACCCCCCCCCTCCCCGTTCTTCCGCCGTCATGCCTCACTGCTCACCTCGAGGTGTCCCAGCAGGTGTGACAGCTGGGCGAGTGCCCCCATGACCGAACCCTTCCCGTCGGTGCTGCGGAGCTGGTTGAGGACGAACCTCAGGCTCAGCTCCACGTCTCTCCCCTGCGCGTCCACCTGCCAAGCGTGGCTCGTCGCCAGGGTGCCCACCGGATCGCTCGCGTCGTAGATGCGGAACACGAACGACCCGACCTGCGCGTAAAAACAGTTTGGAGTTGTTGTTACAGAGAGATTTTTTGGTCTGAAATACGCCGCAGGGAGAAGGCGGCGGGGGGGAATATGCAACACCCGTGTCGTCTTACTCTTGTGTGACCCCGGCTGGTGCGCCCAGAATCGTACCCAAAGGTAAAGGTGTGAAGAAGGACCGCGGTCCAGAAGAAATGGGATGATGAACAAAAACAAATGTCTTCCCATCGCGGCTGCTGCTGATATAGGTTTTGTTCATATTTTTTTCTTGTGCCGTGGTAATTTTTTTTCTCGTAACCACTGTAGGATCGACATTATTAAAGGCTCGCTTTTTCCACACCTTCCACGCACACACATGAACATACATAACGGATAAAAGAGCATTCGTCCGACAGACCTGATGGATGGCTTGATTTGGTAAGCGGTTGATTCGCCCAATCACATCGGTCGACACTTCGAGGCAAACAAAGCAAGGGGTCAGCTACGACCTGCTAAGCAGGGGGACACACGGGCGAAATGAGGGGCGGCTTTCAACACCCCCCCTTTGTAAAGTAGGAATAAATGATCGGCCATCGGTGATCGGTCCTGTGGGAACAGTGCTCCGTCCTCCCGAGGACGCCTGGTTAACGGTCCAACCGCCAAGACATGAAAAACATGATTACACCCCCCCCCCCCACCTGCCGAGAAAAAACGGAAGGCGAAGGATAGAGTGCGCAAAATCTCCAATAGGGAAAAGCACAAGCTGAGAGTGGGGTCGTGGAACGTGTGCGGGTTCGCAAGGAGTGAGCGCAAGCGGTTGGAAATAGTGGACCAAGTAGAACAAAGCGATCTGGATGTAGTGGGGATCCAAGAGACGTGGGAACTGAAGGATGGGGACGTGGTAAGCAAAATAGGGAAGTACCGGTGGGTAGGGAAGGCAAGAAAGGGCTTAGACCCGAAGAAAAGGGGGGAGGGGGGAGTCGGATTCCTGGTCAAGGAACACTTGTATGACGTGGTGGAAGTAGTGGTGAAAACGGAGTTCGAGGAAAGCCTATGGCTTAAGATACCTGGGGAGCGGGGTGAGAAAGATTTGTTTCTAGGGAACGTATACGTCCCACCGTCGTCGAAGAAAGTCGCAAGCAAGGCGCAGGAGAACTTCGGACAAATTGGGGAAGATGTCCAGAGGTTCAGTAGGAAGGGAGAAGTTGTCATGGTGGGCGATTTCAACTCCAGAGTAGGGAAAGCTTGCAGTAGAGGACAGGCGATCGGGCAGCACGGAGAAGACAAAGTGAATGACAACGGAGTGAGGATGCTTGAATTCTTGGGAAGCAACGAGCTGATGGTGTTGAACGGTAGGAGGGAAAGCGATAAGCCAGAGTTCACCAGGCAGAGGGCAGTTTGCAATGAATACTCGATCCTCGACTACATCCTGGTAGATAGGGGGAGCACACAGGTCCCGGAGCTGCACGTAAGTGCGATAGATATAGGTTCGACCGACCATTTCCTCATATGGGCAAACATCGACCGATCTAGAAAGACGGCGAGTAAGAAAAAGAGGAAAGTGTTCCGGTGGAAAGTAGAGCGTTTGGGAGACGAGGGGACACGCGATGAATTCCAGAAGGGATTGGCTGGTAGTGTAGAACCCTTCAGGAAACTGCTGAGAAGCGTCGAAGACGGAAAGGTAGACGTACAAGCAGCAGGGGACAGGGTGATTGAAGGATGGGAGTCCATAGTGAACACAACGGCAGAGAGAGTAGTGGGAAAGAAGGTGGTACGATGTGGGGTATCGGGTAAGTGGTGGGATGACGAGCTGAAAGAAGAAATAGGGGAACGTAGAGAAGTCTTCAAGCAGTACCTGGGTGAGGGGTCTGAAGAGAGTTGGGAAAAGTACAGGGCCAAGAGGAAACAGGTGAAGGGACTAGTGAAAAAGAAGAAAAAGAGCATTTGGGACGAAGTAGTGCAGAAGGCCAACGAAGGCCTGGAGGGGAACGTCAAGCAGATGTGGGAAGGGATTAGTGGGATGGTAAAAAAGACCGCGCAAGGGGGGGATACAGGGGTAGCAACATTGCGAAGTGTGAACGGTGGACTAGTCAGCAGTGGGAAGGGAAAAAGGGAAGTTCTAGCAGGACACTACAAGAGACTTGGAGTGCCTTCGGAGAATGAAGATTTTGACCAAGTGTTTAAGAAGGAGGTGGACGCATGGGCCCAGAAAGAAGAAGAGACATCGAAGGCAGACGTTGGGAACGTAGAACTAGAAAAGGAGTTCACTGAGGACGAGGTTGAGGCGTGTGTGAACAAGCTGCAGTGCCACAAAGCAGCAGGGGCGGATGGGATAGTAAACGAGTTCATGAAGTTTGGGGGCAAGGGGATGATCCAGCTGATGGTACTGCTGTACAACTGGGTGTGGAAAAACGAGTATGCGCCAAGTAGATGGAGGGAAGGAGTGGTTGTGAACTTGTTTAAGAAAGGAGACAAGACTGACCCAGGAAACTACAGGGGTATCACACTGTTGAACACAGTAGGAAAAGTGTTCTGTAAGCTGCTGAACGATAGGATAGTGGGAGTATTGGAGAAGAAACGTAGCATTAGTGAGGGCCAGGCAGGTTTCCGACAGAAGAGGGGGTGCGTAGACCACGCATTCACGGTAGGGAGAATCATCCAAGGTAGAAAGAGGGCGGGCAAGCGGACGTACTGCTTCTTCCTGGACGTGAAAAAGGCATACGATACCGTATGGAGAAATGGGCTGTGGAAACAATTGTCCAAGTACGGGATCAAGGGGAAAATGTGGAGGGTGCTGAAGAAGATGACAGAGTGTACGAAAAGCGCGGTCATGCTAGACGGAGAACTGTCTAAATTCTTCGACATTGAGCAAGGGGTCCCACAAGGTTGCACGCTGTCCCCAACATTGTTCCAGGTGTTCATCAACGATCTGTTGGAAGTCGTAGAGGCAGTCCGGAAGGGAGTAAAAGTAGGGGACACGGAAACTTCGGTGTCAGGAATGCTGTTTGCGGATGACTTTGTTGGTATGTCGGACACCCCTGAGGGACTGCAACTGCAAATTGACGAGGCGAAGAAGTTTACTGATAAGTGGAGATTGTCTGCCAACGTTACGAAGAGTGCCGTCATGGTATGCAACGAGGGCAGGGAGGAACCAGTAGAACATAGATGGAAGTGGGGGATCGAGGAGATTGCAGTAGTCGACCAGTACACATACCTCGGAGTAGAGATCGCAAAAGATTGCTCGTGGAATGCACACATGTCCAAGGTAGCGGAAAAGGGCAAAGCACGAGCAGGGAAGCTGCACCCAATACTCGCAAACCGGCACCTTGATACACGCATCAAATTGACGGTTTTGAAGAGCGTAATCGTACCGCCGCTGGAGTACGCCGGAGAAGTATGGGAAGGAAATAAGAAGGTAGTGAAAGAACTCGAGGCGGCGCAGATGAAAGCAGCGAAAATTATCCTAGGATGCTCCAAGCGCACAAGTAATGCAGCAGTCAGGGCAGAATTGGGGATCCAATCCCTACGGTCGGGAAGAGACGTAAGGAAGCTGACATGGCAG